TTACTGGCTCCCCTTGGCCTTGCCACAATCATGCTATCATCCACCTCATCTTTCCTCAAATCCAACCAGTCTCTTTGGACAGGAGGTTTGTATAGGTAAATACCCAACTCCTATGACTGCCTTATTCGTGAACCCATCATCTCTATTAAGAGTACCTATCCTGCCGAAACCGGTTTGGCTCAATGGATTGAGTGTTGGCCTGAGGACTCAAGGGTCCCAGGTTTGATTCTGGTCAAGGGCACGTTCTTTGTTGCGGGCACATCCTAGTAGGGGGTGTGCAGGAGGCAGCTGATCCATGTTTCTCTCTCATCTGAAGGCCAGGCCAAGTTCAAACTTCATTCTGTAGACAAAAAGGAGCTACTAAAATTTTTAACAGAGAGAGTGAGTGACATTGAGAATGTCACTATCCCTCTCCCTTCCTCTCTGTAAAAAAATCAATAATATATATATATATATGTATGTGTGTGTATATATATATGTATATATATATATATATATATATATATATATATTTTTTTTTTTTTTTTTTTTTTTTTAAGAGTACCTTTCCTGCCCTGTCTTCTTGAGGTCACGTCTGTGCCTTTTATCAGTCAACACTCACCTTCAACCAGAGGAGAAGATAATCCTCCTAAGTCACTGTGTTGTATTCCCTATGCTAGAGATGCTTCATGTTCTCTCTCAACGATCCTCCCATTTAGTCCCACTACATTTTACTGTTTAGCAACAATTTCTAAATCCTTCTTAAACCACTCACCTTTATATCAAGCAGCCTTCCACATTCACCTAGAGCAGTGGTCGGCAAACTGCGGCTCAGGAGCCACATGCTGCTCACAAGCCAACCGTTTGCCGCTCTGTTGACTAATGAGTTTGCCGACCACTGTCATACACTACCCTTTACCTCTTTGCGTACAATATGCCACAATTGCCTAATCCTCACAGCTTCCAACTACACAGTAACATTTAGTCTAGTACAGTGGTCGGCAAACTCATTAGTCAACAGAGAATTAATTGTCTAAGGAGGTCTGCTACCCTAATCGCATCCTCTATAATATGTTGAAGTTCCCTAAATTCCTCTGCTTCTACTATTTTCTCTCTTGAAATTACCCAATAAGACAAGAAAAGGTACATAGTGCCTGGCATACAGTATCTTTTTAATAAACGTTGGTCCTCTTAACTTCTTGTCTATCTTCTCAAATGGATTTATTTTCTTTAAAAAATATTTCATATATTATACCACTGAATTCTCTTCAAATGTTATTGTACTTGATTTAGTCAATCCTCCATTATAGGGAGCTATTCTTCTCTTTTATAAATATTTAGGTGAGGATGCTTATCTCCTCAGATCATAGGAAACTGCCTGATTGATTGTCTCGGTCCTACATAGATATGTTATTATTAATTTGATAAGGTATTTTAAGTTACTCGAACACTCTCTATGAGCAGTGCCAGAAGTTGAGAGGGATAGCAGGAAATATATATGCCCTTTAGAAGTTTACAATCCAATTACTGACATAAAACATACACTCAAAACTATTGAGAAATAATGCAAGGCAACAGTGCATACCTGGTCTTCCTATTACCTCGTATGATCCATCCCAAAACACTGCATTCTCAATGTCACTCACTCTCTCTGCTTAAAAACCTTCAGGAGCTCCTTTCTGTCTATGGAATGAAGTTTGAACTTGGCCTGGCCTTTAGGACTCTACAATGTACAACTCATGGCAGGCATGTGGCCTACTGGCCACGATTTTGACACACTTGATATAGAGTTAAACATCTTCAACCTCATGTCCTATGATTTCTGCCCAAAATGAAACTTCTGCTTCATCCAAAGTCTCCTTGTCCCCTGAACATATCACATGTACTTCCTCTTACGTCTTTGCTCACCCTCTCCAATTTTACTTCTCCCTTCCTCTTTTTAAAAAGTTCACTTTACCTTAGCTTTTTGGGCTCAGTGGATAGAGCGTCAGCCGGTGGACTGAAGGGTCCTGGGTTCGATTCCAATCAAGGGCACATGCCCGGGTTGTGAGCTCAATCCCCAGTAGGGAGGCATGCAGGAGACAGCCAATCAATGATTCTTTCTCGTCATTGATGTTTCTCTCTCTCTTCCCCTCCTTTCTCTCTGAAATCAATAAAAATCAATCAATAAAGAAATAATCACTTTCTACCTTCTAAGACCCAGTTCAAGTTCATGGTCTAGGGCCTCTTCCATCAAACATTCCCTTGCTACCTCAGTCTACGATGCTCTCTCCCTCCTCTTAACTTCAATAGTATAAAGTGTATAACATTCCTATTTGACACTTAGCATATATTATCAAATAATGGCTACATTATAGTTTTATATATCCTTTTATTGTTTTATAGCTCAGGCATCTAGCACAAGACTTTTCACAGAATAGATATCCTATAAATGTTTATTATATGAATAATAAGAATGAAACAAACACACCTACTCCCAACACAGTTTTCTAACGCCTTCTCCAGCAAACAAACACACTTTAACTCCATCATGTTCAACACTTTTAACCCTTATTTTTTCTTCACAAATTAGTGTAAGCCTCTAACCTAAATCCAGATTCCTCTTCCATTCCCATCCAGATTCCAGAAGACAAAGCCCAGTACTCACAGTGAACTTTATTTGGATTTGTCTGTTTCCGACGGGACATGTTTCCCTGATCCAAGAGCTCTGGCCTTTCCCAGTTTCACGACTGGATGTGTTACTACCTCCTTGCAGGGTGCTGACCTACAAGAAAAAGGGATATAGTTAGCACATGTCATTTTGCCCAGATATCATACAAACTTAACAGATAAAAAAGATTTTTAAAAATAGTTCTTAAGTGTATCAAACTCACCAGTTATAAATAACTGGACTCATTAAAGAAAGAAATTCATAAATCTCTGGCACATCAAGGTCCCAAGAAGTTTAAGAAGGGACTCCTTGAGAGGATTTAGAAATTCCACTCTAAAACTATCTATGGAATCCAGAATACTGTTGCATGCTCGTGATCAGGATAAAAAAAGGAAGCAAGTAACTCGGGCAATCAGTGTTAGTAGTGCCGTGGGCTCAAAGGAACAAATCCCCGTGAGCTGTGAAAGGAAGCAGCAAAGGCTAAGGAGGGGGGCAGCTCTCATGCCCACTGGAAGCCACGCCCTGTGGTCCTCCCCAGTGGGAGCCTCCAGGCGTTACCTCACCTGGAGGTGACAAAGGCATCATATGCCTGAGACAAGAAAACATCTCCAAACAACACAGGGAGCAGAGCCAGTGTTTAGTGATGCCGGCACAAGCGCTGGGCACTGGGGATGACAGGGCACTGAAGCCAATCAGACTTCCAATGCTGAAGACGGGCTCTCACCAGAAGAGCCAGATGCCATCCACGTGGCTGAGCCACTAATTCGGCACCCCAATGTGGGACATCAACCTGGCCCCGCTCGCATGGTCTGGAGCTGTGGTCAAAGTTAGTGACTTTAGTGCCTCTTCTCAATCCAGCCTCTACGCAGCAGAGCGATCAGTGGGAGAAACAACGAGAAAAGCGTGTCAAGGGAGCAGTGCTGCAGAGACATGCGCTGTTTCCCTGGAACAGGAGGGCGTGGATCCGTAAGCCTGGAGGTTCCCGGTTAGTTACAAGACTTTCCCAGCAGTCAGTGTTGTTAGAGAGCCTGAAGTGCTTTAGTACCGGAAGCTGTGAAATTTTCTTTGAAAGATCAAGTGAAGAAACAGACTGATTAAGATGACCTAGATTCCTTTTCCTACCAAAGACAAGAGTATGGATCTGGTCACCCTTTAAGCTTTCTTCCCGTTCCTGCCTCCTCAAAGTATATGCACAGCGAATGAGCAAAGATAAAATTGTAGAGGCAGTATGAGAGGCGACTCCTAGCTATGCTGTGCACTCCAGAACTCCTCTATGTAGCTAGGAAGGACCTGAGACCTGTAATCAGATCTTGCCTCCCCTTACCAAAAGAAGAAAGAAACCGCAAATGGCAAAGACAGGCCTCCACAGGAAGTGGCAAAGGAAGCAGCTTTCAGGCAGTCTTCTATCATATCTGCATATCAAACACAGTTCTTTTTCAGACCTTTAATTAACAACCAAAAAAAACAAAACAAAAAAAAAACAAAAAACAAAACTCCAAATATACATAAAAATCAATTTTAACTATTTAGAGCAGCGGCTGCCAACCTTTCGGACCTCACGAACCACCGGTTAGCGACGCTGATTTAGAGGGCAGTGTGCTGAGTGCTAATGCTAATGGTGTATGTTCTCCATTCTAAGTTTCGTGTAGATCATTTCTTTCTAAAAAGTAGTTATTTTATTAATGAAAGCAGTGAAGGAATTTTACACTTTGGGTACTATGCACTTTTCCTGTAAGTCTATGGAATGGGAAAGCAGAAAGCTGAATGAAATGCAGGTTGTCTTTCATTTTTTGTTGTTGTTGTTGTTCTAAAATTTGCAGAGCTACACCTACTCTATTGCAGAAGGAAAATACGAAATCTTAATGAATCTTTAAATTTTCGCTCCATCAAGATCAGAAATTGAAACTGTGGGATAAAGATACTATTAAAGATCCTTCTGAAGGACTTTCCGCTCATTTATTCCGATCATCTTGGTGAGGCAATAGTTCAATACTAAAGCTACTATTGGACACAGAGGAGCATCTGCGTATTTAAATTGGCAGTGTCCACTGCATCTCATAATCCTCCTAGTGGCCAGATGGGGAATTGACCAGATGGTACCCAAAGGAACTTCACACCTGAGGGATTTAAGGGAAAATTAAGCAAATACTCTCCATCCCTCAAAAAAGAAAGCCTGTAGAGCAGAGGACTCTTGCAAATAAATAAATAAATAGCACCGAAAGTACATTCTTAACCACACAAGATCTCGGGGCTTTTGCAGGCACCAAACGGTAATGAAATCCATAGGCACACTGGCCTAAAGGTCACTCATTCCATTTCACTTTTTAACACTGCCCGAGTTCCCAAGCCCGAACCTGAAACCAACACAAAAATGTCAATGGAGAACCGCCTGGACATCACCATCTCCAAGAAAAGCCGGGATAGGAAAGAAAGGTAAACTGGTGCGATTCAAATCTACAAGGGGATTCGATTGGGAAAAAAAAAAAGGAAGGCAGCTTTTTGTCTGTCTTTTAGAACGAGGTTCAAAGTCCTTGGGGGCGGGAAGGGGGAGCACCGTCTCCCCCACAACACTGTCCCTTGCCTCTCCCACAAGTGTTAGGTTGCAGCTTCCAGAACGCACCACGGACTTTAGCAACAACAACAACAAAAAGAACAAAAACAAAACGGGTGAAAGCCAAGTTCTAAGAAAAAGAGGGTGCACCATTCCCCACCTCCAGCTCTTGGTGCGTTCCCCACGGAGGAAAAGTAAACTCGTCCGGATCCCAGCTGATTTCTATCTGCCAGAGAAGGAGAGAGCACAAGAAAGCTGATCGCGTAGCCAGCCAGCCGCCGCCTCCCTTCGGTCCGGTTCGGTCAGCAGCGGGTGTCACCATCAGCCGAGGAGATGGTCCCTTTGGGCTTCCGGCAGGACGAGCCAGGTGGATCCCCGGGAGAAGGATCGGCCCAAAAGCCAGCGGAGTGAGTGGGTCCTCCGCAGCGGCTCCGACAGACAAACCCTCATCAGACAGCACCGTCTTGTCCGCGGTCTAAATTTAGCAGCTTCCCCGGGAGCCGGCGACACGGACCGATACCCGGGTGTGCCCTCCCACGCCCATCCTCCCTCCTCCCTCCCTCCCCGGCTCCTCCCCGCCTGTCAGACGCCGGGGCCGTCCCGGCTGCTCCCGGCCGAGCCGACCTGGGCCCGAGCCGGGAGGGGCGGCTGCACCGACGTCCCTCCCGCGCCCCAAAGGAGGAGTGACCGGGAGGGAGGGGAGCCGGCCGGGACCCGCCGGACTCCGGAGACCCGGGCAGGGAGGGGGCTGGGTCGGAGGAGCCTGGGCTGCCCCCACCCCCCAGGCCGGAGCGAGCCCCTCTCTTCCCTCCGGGCAGACAAAAGACCGACGGCCGGGGACCCGCATCCTCAGCCCGGCCCCCGGGAGGGAAGGAGTCGGGGGCGGGGAGGGGGGTCTCTTTACCCGGCGCCTCGGCTCCGGGTCCCTGGGCCCCGCCTCCGGACAGACGGACCGCCGGACAATGGGCCCCGGGGCTGCGGCTGGGGCCGGCCGGGCCTGGCTCTCCGGGACCGGGCCCCGCAGGCAGGCGGAGGGCAGCTGCGGGCCAAGCCGAGGGGCGGTGGAGCCGAAGGGGGGCGGCGCTGCGAGACGGACAAAGCCCAACGGCAGACAGACGGACGGACGGAGGGGGAAAAGATGGCGACGCGGGCGGCGGGAGCGCGCTGCTCGCGCACCGGCAGCGGGCGAGGCGCGTGCACGAGCCTCCCTCCCTCTCCCTCCCTCCGCCCGCGCGGTCCCCTCGCCCCGCTCCTGGGCGCGCGCCCGCGGTGTGGGCGGGGCTTGCGGGGGGAAGCGAGGGTCCCGGGAGGCGGGGCTTGAGGGAGCAGCCAATCGCAGGCGCATAAGGGGGGGGGCCTGGCCTCCCGCCCCGCGCCCCGGGGACCACCCAGGCGCGCACCTTGCGCGGTGTTTTCTCCAGCGTTCTCCGCTCCTCTGCTGCCGCCCAACCCCGCCTGGACCTGCAAACTCCACCCTCCCTGACTGTCAGCCCCGATCCTGGTTTCCTATCTCACCTTCAAGTTCAGCCACAGAACCCACATCCCCTAACCACAGCTCCACCGCAGGCTCCCCCTCCCCTTAGCTCAACCTTAGTCACCCACCTCCCACCCCCCCTCCACCGAAACCCTATTCCCTTCAGTTCCCCATATTTCAGGGTTTCTTCGGATCCCAAGAGTCTTGGTGGGAGGGCCTGGGTCCAGCTGTCAAGACCTCCGAAAAAAAATCTTTAGATTAAAAAAACACACATACACACACACACACACACACACAAAAAAAAAAAAATCATTCCAGTCTCCAACATGGTTCTCAAATAACAACTGTAGCTGTGTACCTAGGGGCATAGGATTAATTTGGAGCAGGGAAACTTGTAGCAATGACACTGTTGCCACTCAAGGGACATGTGGGACCATTGAGAGGGGTTAAGACTCACTTCCTAATAAAACACCTCCTTCCCCTGTCATCGTCCCTTTCTAGTTCCTCACTACTTGCCTTTCCTTCTTATTCTCTCTTCTTGTAGAGTTCCTGAGCCTGCCTCTGACATAGCTTCCTTGGTGGGGAATGCCGTGGGAAGAAAATGTTAGATCAGTTTTGAGTCCCACCCAGCTCTGTCACGGATGAGCCTGGTGACCTAGGGCAAGGCACTTTCCTATTTTGAACGTCTATTCCCTGAGATGTAAAATGGATAATAATGTCATAATTCCTGACCTCTGTTCTCATAGATTGTTGTGGTGATTAAGTAAAATGAACACATGAAATGTATAGTCTGCAAATATGTTTTATGATTACTGACCCCACAAAGACAGAGCTAATGAAGATGCTGACCCTTGATTAGTAAGCAACAAGTCCTGGTATTGCAAAATGTCTTTCTCATAAATCCCCAATGAGATGATATCATTGTCTGCATCTTGTGATTAATGTGAGAGAATGGCTGTATTAAAGGATCTTGGTCCTTTACAATTCATTCATTCATTCATTCATTCTTCATTATAAGTAGGAATTATTATTCTTTCATTTTGGTTAAGGAAATATTTCAGTTTTGTTTAAATTTTAATTCCTAGGAAGCAAAAAAAAAAAAAAAAAAAAAAAAGGAATATTCTCATCCAACCAGAAAGTTTTTAAACAGTTTAATATAAGAATGCAAGCTGGAATAAAACATAGGCTTTCATACGTAACAGTAATTCTTGGTGAGTTTAGACCGAGAGATAAAAAAAAAAGGTAGTATTATGTACCTTTAAACTTGACATAGTTGATATTTCCTTTTTTAAAATATATTTTTTATTGATTTCAGAAAGGAAGGGAGAGAGGGAGAAAGGGAGAGAGAAACATTAATGTTGAGAGAGAATAATTGATTGGCTGCCTCCTCCATGCCTCCCTGCCCCAAATATGGGCACTTGCCCTGACCAGGAATCTAATCACAATCTACTAGTTCATAGGTCGATGCTCAATCACTGAGCCACACCCTGCCGGGCAGTTGATGTCTTCAGCATGAAAGTAGCTAGCAGGTAAATCATTTCGAGAAAGCCTCTAATGAAATGTCTTGGCTTCATCATTAAGTTATTGTGTAAAGCTGAGCAGCTTGTTCTATCTCCTTGAGTTGCAAATAAAATAGGATCATAATAATGCTACTTTAATAACCTTTCTGGTCGAAACTGGTTTGGCTCAGTGGTAGAGCGTCGGTCTGTGGACTGAAAGGTCCCAGGTTCGATTCCGGTCAAGGGCATGTACACGTTGGTTGCGGGCACATCCCCGGAAGAGGGTGTGCAAGAGGCAGCTGGTCGATGTTTCTCTCTCATCAATGTTTCTAGCTCTCTATCGCTCTCCCTTCCTCTCTGTAAAATATCAATAAAATATATATATTTTTAAAAATAACCTTTCTGTGCTCTGGAAATGCCTCAGGTGTTGTGACTCAGAATTATAATGAAATAAGGGAAATTATAAATAAAATAAAAAAAAGAAATTCATTTCTTTTTCCTCTACTCTCATCTACACTTGTTCTGTACCCAAAGACTTTCATTAATCATAGATTTTTTAAATTTTACTTTCCCATTCTACTCAGATAGTTATGCTATTATTTTGCCCTTCATATTAACTTTCCCTTTAAATATTTTCCTAATCTGTTTTATATTTATTGGCTTCTATGATGACCTTGTTAGGGCTTTACGTTACAATAGTATTGGTTGGATAACTTAAAGGACTTCATTAAAAATGTATTAAATAAGATATAATTCATATACATTGGAGTTTATCCTTTTTAAAAGTATTTTTTTAATTTATTTCAGAGAGGAAGGGGAAAGAGAGAGAGTAAGAAAGAGAGAGGATGACAGAGAATCATTGACTGACTGCCTCCTGCACACCCCACACTGGGGATTGAGCCCACAACCCAGGCATGTGCCCTGACCAGGAATTAAACTGAAACCTCCTGATTCATAGGTTGATGCTCAATCATTGAAACACACCAGCTGGGCTTAAAGTGTATAGAATTCAGTGGTTTTTAGCATATTCACAAGGTTGTGCAACATTACCAGTATCTAATTTAAAATGTTTTCATCACCCCAAAAAGAAACTCCATAGACATTGACAGTCACTCTCCAATTCTGCCTCCCTCCCCCACCCCCAACCCCTGGCATCCATTAATCTAGTTTCTGTCTCTATGGATTTGCCTATTCTGGACATTTCACATAAATGGAATCATCCACTATGGGGCCTTTCGAGTCTGGCTCCTTTCACTTAGCACAGTGGTCGGCAAACTACGGCTTGCGAGTTGCATGAAGCTCTTTGGCCCCTTGAGTGTGTGGCCCTTCCACAAAACACCACATGCGGGCTCGCAAATACAGTGCGATTGAAACTTCGTGGCCCATGCGCAGAAGTCGGTTTTTGGCACTCAAAAGAAATTTCAATCGTTGTACTGTTGATGTTTAGCTCTGTTGACTAATTAGTTTGCCGACCACTGACTTAGCATAATGTTTTTTGAGAATCATCCATGTTATAGTATTTCATGGTATCCATATATCATCCTTTTCTATGGCCAAATGATAGCGTTCCATTGTATGGCTATACAGTACCACATGTTACTTCCATTCATCAGTTGATGGATATTGATGTTGTTTCTACTTTTTGACTATTCTGAATAATATTGTCGTAAACATTTGTGTATAATTTTTATGCGAACATACATTTTTAATTTTCTCAGGAGTGGAATTTTTTGGATCATAGGGTAACTCTATGTTTGACTTTTTAAGGAATTGCCAAACTGTTTTCCCAAGTCCCTGCATCATTTTATATACCTGCCAACAATATATGAGAGGTCCAATTCCTCCATATCCTGGGCTATACTCGTTATTGTTTGTCTTTTTTTATTATAGTCATCATGGTGGGTGTGAAGTGATACCTCAGTTTTGGTTTGCATTTTCCTGATAACTAACTATGTTGAACATCTCATGTGCTTTTGACCATTTGGAGAATGTCTATACAAATTCTATGCCCCTTTTAAAATTGGGTTGTCTTTTTATTGTTATTTTATAAGAGTTGTTGTTTTTTTAGATTTGGGATAGTCGACCCTTATAGGATATGTTTGCAAAAATGTTCTTCTATAGTGTAGGCTGTCTTTTTTCTTTCTTGAGAGTCTCCTTGGAAGCACCAAAGTCTTGTATTTATATGAAATTCAATTTATATATTTTTTGGTTGCTTGTGATTTAGGTGTCATTTCTAAGAAATAGTCATGAAGATTTACACCTATTGTTTCTTCTCAGATCCATTTTGAATTAACTTTGTATAAGTGTGAGGAAATATGGTACCATTTTATTTTTGCATGTGGATATCAAGTTTTACCAGCAATAATTTGTTGAACAGAATACTCTTCCCCCACTGAATTATCTTGTTATCTTTGTTTTGTTTTGTTTAAAAATATATTTCTTTATTGATTTCAGAGAGGGAGAGATAGAAACATCAATAATGAGAGAGAGCCGAAATCGGTTTGTCTCAGTGGATAGACTAGGGGTGTCGAACTCAATCAGAGAAGGGGCCAAAATCTAAAATCCAGCCTAAATCGCGGGCCGAATGGTTTACTGAACAGTCATAAACTGTCATTGTGATGGAAACGCAGCGGAGTGCAGTGATGACAGCGCGGTGCGGGCCACATTGCAAGGCCTGGCGGGACGGATTTGGCCCGAGGGCCTTGTGTTTGACACATGTGGGATAGAGCATCAGCTTGCGGACTGAGGGGTCCCGGGTTCGATTCCAGTCAGGGGCATGTACATGGGTTGCGGGCACATCTCCAGCAGGAGTTGTGCAGGAAGCAGCTGATTGATGTTTCTCTGTCATCAATGTTTCTGACTATCTGTCCCTCTCTCTTCCTCTCTGTGAAAAATCAATAAAATATATTTTAAAAAATAAAAAAAAGAATAATGAGAGAGAATCATTGATTGGCTGCCTCCTGCATGTCTCCTATTGGGGATCGAGCCTACAACCTGGGCATGTGCCCTTGGCCAGAATCAAATCTGGGACCCTTCAGTCCACAGGCTGACCCTCTATCCACTGAGCCAAACTGGTAGGGCTCCTTTATGAAATATCAATTGGCCACAAATGTATGGGGTTTATTTCTGGACTTTCAATTTTATTCCATTTATCTATGTGTCTGTCATGCCAGTATCATAGTTTTTTTGTTGTTTATATGTTTGTTTTTGGACAGAAGAAGCTGTCTTCAATTGGATGGCATGGGTTTTTTTTGTCATACAGTCTTGACAAGAACCTCATATTTTAAGGAGATAAACTTTTGAGTTTATATTTAAAATTTAGAATTGTGTTTTCATTCCTTTGAATTCATTTAAGGAAAAATAAAAGTTTTCTAAGATGATTACAATGATAAATATCATGAAACAATGTGACATTAAAACCCAAATATGTGAACCCAAATCAGAGTAACTGATTTAGCCCTAGCCGGTTTACTCAGTGGATGGAGCATCGGCCTGCTAATTGAAGGATTCCCAGTTCAATCCAGGTTAAGGGTACATGCCTCGGTTGCAGGCTCAATCCCCAGTATGGGGTGAGCAGGAGGCTGCCAATCAATGAATTTTATCTCATCATTGATGTTTCTCTCTCCCTCCACCCCCCATCCTCTCTGAAATCTATAAAAATATATTTTTTAAAAGAATAATTGATTTAATGTGTCTTTCTTTTCATTTGTTGAGAAACTCAATATACACAAATTGAAGGGAAAACCAGGAGGCAAATTATTATGGAAATATGGGTATATGGAAAGTATACGATGTCAATCAAGTCTCAAGATCTGGGTTCAAGATTAGATTCTGGAATTTATACTGTTGACCTTGGATTGGTGACTTTACAGCTCTCAGCTCCACTTTCCTCCTGTAATAACTAAACATCATTTCTGATCTACATCTGCTGCATAGGGATGCATGAGCCTCAAATTAAGGTGATGTGTTTGTGAGTACCCTGTAAACAGCAAAATGGCAGAGATAGTTAGTATTTGTGTATGGCCCTAATGTTATCTGAAGAATCATTCCATAGATACTCTAAAAAACGCTCTTGGTTTTTGTTTTCCCCCTTGGGTCTTAGGGAGGTAGATGTCTAGAGCGGTTCCTATGACATTTTATATTCTTTAGCCTAGAAGCTCTCTGAGACTTTCCCCTTTCTAAATGTTAGTACTGGAAAAAGAAAGAAAAAAAAGAAAAGAAAAGGAAATTACTCTTTGCCCATCATCTTCTCTCTTACACAATGTGTAATACTTTCTTCTATTTCAGGAGTCAGCAAATGCTTCCTGTAAAGTGCCAGACAGTAAATATTTTAGACTTTGTGGGCAACATAGGATTTCGTCACATATCCCGTCCCAACCTCACTTTTCTTTTGCAGTCCTTTAGCGCGTAAAAATCATTCTTAGTTGGAGGGGCTGTACAAAAACAGGCCTGACTTTTGTCTGTAGACCTGTTATGGACTCTTGTTTTTCTGGGTTCAAGCAGGTTTTAGTGACTTTCAGCCACTAGTTATAATAATGTTCACAAAAAAAGTGTCACTGGTTAAACAAAGAAATGGTGTGTGTTACTTTTTACCCTCAAGCAAAAACAGAATTTTCAAGTGAAACAGTGTGTTTTGTTTTGTTTTTTGCATATGTTTAGCATCTGAATAAAACTGGTCTGTTCTCCTAGGGACAGAAATACTGTTTTGAATTCACATTGATGGATTACAGAATCTAAATAATTAGAAAGGGCAGGACACAGGTGATGATTGCTGAGTCCAAGCCACTGCTGAGCAGGACGAAATTTTTCTAAATGAATCATGTCATTTCTAGCAAGACAGGGCTCAAAGACACTTTTCACTCATCTTTACTTTCATTGTTTGTTTGTTTTTAAGTTAATAATTTAAAAAATATATATTTTATTGATTTTGTACAGAGAGGAAGGGAGAGATAGAGAATTAGAAACATCGATGAGAGTCATCGATCAGCTGCCTCTTTGCACACCTCCTACTGGGGATATGCCCAAAACCAAGGTACATGCCCTTGACCGGAATCGAACTCGGGACCCTTCAGTCCCCAAGCCGATGCTCTATCCATTGAGCCAAACTGTCTCGGCTGTTTTTTTTTTTTTTTTTTTTTTTAAATATATTTTTATTGATTTTTCACAGAGAGGAAGGGAGAGAGATGGAGAGCTAGAAACGTCGATGAGAGAGAAACATCAACCAGCTGCCTCCTGTACACCCTCTAACGGGGATGTGCCTGCAACCAACGCACATGCCCCTGACCGGAATCGAATCTGGGACCTTTCAGTCCGCAGACCGATGCTCTATCACTGAGCCAAACCGGTTTCGGCTTCTTTCATTGTTTGAACAAAGTGGCAGTGATGTCAAGGATTCCAAAAGTCATCTAAACACAATGCGCTACTGAGGGCATGGGAAAATAGGAACTCTCATACATCCATTGGTGGTGGTGGTGTAAACTGATACTTCCTCTTTGAAGGGTGACTTGGCATTGTCTCTCAACATTAAAAATATACCTACCCTTTGACCCAGTATTTCTGCTTCTGGGAATTTACTCAATAAGCACAATCCATGCAGACAGATACCTAGTCATTGCAGCATTGCTTTTAGAGACAAAATATTGGAAATAACCTAAATGCCACCAATACAGCAATGTGTAAGTTTGGAATAATATATGTTCCAAAAAAAGTAATAATGGCATGGAAAGTGTTACATAGGCCTCTCATTTTATTGTACCATAAATTAGTAAAAACAACAAACATATTTATACTTTTAGATTCCGAAATGAAGGTATTGAATTCAGTCCCTTTTATTCTTTTAAATTAAATGAGGAATAGAATCAGAATATAGTTATTGTTGGGACGTTGGTGTAGTCGAGTACTTTCTGGGAGAAAACTATCATTTCCTATGTAGATATATAATAACTTAGTATACATACACATACATGTAAACACACACATACACACACTTCGTTTTCTTAAGCATTTGGCAGTAAGTTGCAGACACCATGACCCGTCACTTCTACCTAGCTCACCATGCATCTCAACTAACCATTATACCAATTGTCTCAAAAATGCCTTTTACTTAGTTTGAATCCATATCTAACAGGATCCATACACATTACATTTGATTGCTATGTCTCTACATCTCTAAATTCAAGATCTTTGCCCTCCTTTTTTTTTTAATGCCATTATCTTACTGCAGACGGCTTAATTTATATATGCACACATTTATTGCACTTCCCCCCACACACATTTAAAAGGAGCCAAATACCATGAATTTTCAGTTTCTGGAATCTGGTTTTGTTTGGAAATACTTTTAGTGTTATAAAGGCCATTATTTCTAAATGCATGCAAACCTCACACGGTAACACATAGTTACATTCCTATCACATGACGGCATTGCAATTGAGAACCACCATGTTGGTGTGGGTAGACACAGCCTCTACAGCAGGGGGCAGGGGGCAGGGTGCCTCCTTCCCGAGGCCTGGAGTCCAGCAAGACCCTTCCAACGCTCAACCGGAAAAGAATAGTTATAAAGTTGAAAACAAAGAAAATTAAGTGAAAAAGTCTCCTCTGAATCCAGAGATAAGGTCAATTCCCCGAGAATGTGGTGCTAAGGAAATACACCACCGAAATAATACAGACGGTGGAGGTTCTGGTTGGAAGAGCATTCAGATCTGGTTTAAAAGCGGGACAGGGGCCCTGGCCGGTTTGGTTCATTGGATGGAGCATCGGCCTGCGAGCTGAAGGGTCCCAGGTTCGATTCCAGGCACATCCCCAGTAGGGGCTGACAGCTGATGGATGTTTCTAACTCTCTATCCCTCTCCTTTCCTCTCTGTAAAAAAAAAAAAAAAAAAAAATAAAAAAAATCAATTAAATATATTTGGGTATCAATGCGTAAATGAAGAGGCGGTGGGCACCCAAGAGGGTGATGGCCAGATAAACAGGTGAAGAAGGGTCTAAATTAAGGTGACCAGACGTCCCGCTTTTGGTGGGACAGTCCCGATTTTTGGAAAGAATGCAGGACAAGCTAGGGAACGGTGGGGAGAACGGAAAGGGAATATACGGTTTTCGGTGGCCATGTGGCTGTTTAGCCAGGACATGAGTTGTTGTTTTTTTTAAATATATTTTATTGATTTTTTACAGAGGAAGAGAGAGGGACAGAGAGTTAGAAACATCGATGAGAGAGAAACATCAACCAGCTGCCTCTTGCACACCCCCTACTGGGGATGTGCCGCAACCAATGTACATGCCCTTGACCGGAATCAAACCCTGGACCCTTCAGTCTGCAGGCCCACGCTCTATCCACTGAGCCAAACCGGTTTCGGCAGGATATGAGTTTTTATATTATTTTTGTTAATTTTATCATGTTAAACTTTAATAATAACAAACAATTGTTGAGAACTGATGATCGAGAATTGCTTATCAGAGTTCGCATTGTTGATCAGCTGTTAGAATTCCACCGCCATTGTTTGGACTTAATGAACAATGGCATTTTTTTTGGATTGGCAACCACAAAAACATTTTGTAACTGTCTCTCAGATGATACACATCGCACTGCGTGCTAGTAAGCTCCTGAAACAAGTGCTGTCATTACAAATCAGCTATTCAGATAATTTAGGTTATTTATTTATTTCATAAGTACATAAATTTTCTTGAACTTAGCAGACAGTACTGGTATTATTTTTATTTTTAAAATATATTTTATTGATTTTTTTTACAGAGAGGAAGAGAGAGGGATAGAGCGTTAGTAACATCCATGAGAGAGAACCATCCATCAGCTGCCACCTGCACACCCCCTACTGGAGATATGCCCGCCACCAAGGTACATGCCCTTGACTGGAATCAAACCCTGGACCCTGCAGTCCGAAGACAAACGCTCTATCCACTGAGCCAAACCGGCTTCGGCAGTACTCGTATTATTTATATTTTATAATGGCGGGACCAAATATTTAATCAAGGGGTTCATTGACCCTTCCCCGTCCATGGTGTCCCGCTAGTCTAAATCGTCTAGGTCATTCCACTCGATGAAGGAAGAACCGCCCTCACAGTGAGAGGAGTGGAGCGAGAGACGGGAGCAAACGTCAGGGACTGAGCAGGTTTTTCCGGAGAGCGGAACCACCCCGAACCGGGTGCGGAGCACGAACCCCCGCCGCGCCCCGCAGGTGACTCAGGGCCGCGCGCAGGGGGCGTGGCTTGATCACGCCGCCGCCTCCGCCGCCTCCGCTGCGGGAAGTAGTCCCCCGGCCGCGCTGGGTTCCTAAGGGAGCCGGGCCGGGGAGTCCCGAGATTCTCGGGCCGAGATCCCGGGAGCGCAGGCGCTCAGCCAATCGCTGCGAGGGAGGGCGTGCCGGCTCGGCCCGCGGATCCCTCCGCCGCGTTGGCCGTGCTGAGGCCCGGGAGCCGCCATCTTGGATGCTGGAGCTTGATTCCGGAGTCTGACCCTGCCGCGTTCGCTCACGCTCGGTTTCGGCCCGGTGAGTCTGGCACCACCCTCTGCGCCGCGGGTCTTTGTTTCCCTCCTGGCACCGCGGCCGGGATTTGGAAGTCCCCAGCCCCGGGTTCCAAGGGCCTTGCCGCGGCAGGTGAGGAGGAAGGGAAAGTGTTAGTGGATGGGTAGTGCAGGGTCAGGCCGGAGAGGCGGCGGCGCGGGGCCGGGGGTTGTGACAGGGTCGCGAGCTGCTTGGGGGGGATCTCTGGTCCGGGATCCTGGAAGCCGCCGCCGAACTTTCTTGTGGTCCCTTTCTGTGCCGAGGCGCCTCTCCCCGGGGGCGGGAGCGCCGCGGCCCGGGCTCCGGTGCCCGTCGGGGAAAGGGCTTCTCGGTCCGCACTTGTGAGGCACGGAAAGCGGCGTCCCCACCCCGTGTCCTCGGGCTCGGGAGGTCCTCGGGAAGGGGGTGTCTCCAGGGTCCGGCGGCCTCCCGGACTGGCGCTGGGCGGCCCGGCGCGGGGGCGCCGTTGGCTGGAGGAAATGGCCCTTTTCTGGGCTGAAGCGGACAGCGGCCCTGGCCAGGCCCCGCTCCTCTTTATGCTCCGCTTCCGGGGCGCTCGCCCGGGGCCAGGACTTTGAACTCGACCCGCATCAACTTTCCCAGGGAGCGTTTGGTTAATGATTACTAGGTCGTAGGAAAGACACGGGAGAGCCGTGTCTTAATTCTTATTGGGAATTTGTGTGTGTGTGTGTGTGTGTTTTCTGTTACGCTCATGTGTTTATTTTTAACTTTGTATTGCGAACATTTGAAGCAGACAGAAGGAAAGAGTGTAATGAATTCCCTCACCCAGCTTCAACAACAACCAGTGTTGGGCTGTTGGGGGAAAAGTCCACATTCAGGATGGATTCCGAAGAAATGACTCATGAGGCCTTATTCAAATTAGGAAGCGCTGTCATTGGAGAAACTTACTGGTTGGGCAAAGCCTTGGGACAGGGTTTCTTTCTTTTTTCTTTTTAAATATATATATATATATATATATATATATATATATATATATATATATATATATTTTTTTTTAACAGAGAGGGAGGGATAGAGAACTAGAAACATCAATGAGAGAGAAACATAGACCAGCTGCCTCCTGCATACCTCCTACCGGGGATGTGCCCGCAACCAATGCACATGCCCTTGACCGGAATCGAACCCGGACCTTTCAGTCCGCAGACAGAAGCTCTGTCCACTGAGCCACACCGGTTTCGGCAGGGTGGTGGTGGTTTTTTTTGTAGGGGTTTAATAGTAAAAGCAAATGGTGGGGTAAGTCGCATAGACCACCAGAAAGAACAATGCATTTCTAAGTTAACATAATATCAGGCGGTTTTCCCTACTCTATTCATTAGCCTCATTCCTGGTCCTGACGTTTGGGCGGCATTCTGGCTTTCTGGGGAGCCAGCCAAGCCTGAGGCTGCAGAGAGGTAAATAATCACTGAAGGTTAAACCACGAGTCCAGCCTTTCCCAGACGCTGGAGCTCTGTTTCATTTCTGAGTTAGTTCCCCTACAAGGGCCAATCTTGTTTAATTTATAAATACTGTTAAGTGTTTAATAAGCTAATTGTTGATATATGTGCGCCCTCCCCACTCCCCCAGTAGAACCTTTTGATTTCTGTACTTACAAATAGCCCACAGGAAATTTGCTTTTTGTTTTGTTTTACGGAGTCATCAGAACCATCTTCTGGGATAGAAGGACTTGGTATATCTTTTTTTTTTTTTTAAAATATATATTTTTATTGATTTCAGAGAGGAAGGGAGAGGGAGAGAGAAACATCTATGATGAGAGAGAATCATGGATTGACTGTGTCCTGCACATCCCCTACTGGGGATTGAGCTCGAAACCGAGACCCTTTAGTACGCAGGCCGATGCTTATTTACTGAACCAAACCACCAAGGACAGTTTCTTTTTATTAGAGAATAAAAGAGTGTTGAAGCCTCAATGTTAGTATTACATTTTAAAGGCACCTGGTTTAAGCCCTCTCTTTTTTAAAGTTGTGGTACTGATTTGTCCAAATTATTTATTTTAATTCCTGTCTTCCTGTGGCTCTGCCTTCTAAATGAGCAGGAACTTCAGAATCCCCAATTCTAGTCTACTTAATTTAAGCTCTCATTCTTTTAAAATCACTCTCAATTACATATAGTCTATTCTGATTTAAAAATGAAACTAGAAAACAGTATAGTCTAATAAAAATTTAAAATATAGGAAAAGTAGTAAGCACATGAAAACTAATTTCATCATAACAAATATCAAAAGGTTGAGGAGTTAATTAAAAATGATTATACAGTGGAATATAGGTAGTCATTAATAAGTTTTAAAGACTGTAACAGATGATATTAAGTGGTAAAAGGATTCGGTGGTGCTCAGAGCCCATGATTACAACTTTGTAAAAACTAGATTATGTAAGTTAGTGAAATTTTTAAAAAGTTATTTTAAATTAAACTTCCTACTAATTAACGTAATAAATGAGTGACAGCTTTGTACTAAGTATTATGGTAGGAAGTGCGAGATTAACAATGACACCTGTAGTGATTGTTTATAGACTACAGGAATTATACTGATTGTGTACAGTTGAAGTCCTCAATGTGGTTGAAAAGTTAAAGTACGGGGAAGGATGCAAAGCATACCTACAACATTTTATTTAGCCTAAAACACATAAAAGTGCATTTATCAGCTAATCTTTAGGTAATGAGCAAGACCTTTCCTTTGAGTATGGGCCTGTTGACTGAATAGAAATGAAATAGTGCTTGTGTGCATGTAGCAGTTTCTGTGTACCAGGCACTGTTCTAAATTCTTTACAAATTCCCTTTAAATTCTCATACCAGCTTTATGAGTAATGAAGGTTCATATAATATTGATGCTATTTAAAAAAATGTTTGACAGAATTTCCTTAAATGTTTAATAGAGAAGCTACTGGGGCCTGGATTTTCTTGTGGAATTGTTCTTAATTTTAGGTTCAACTTTGTAATGTATATGGGACAAATTATATTTTTAATTTCCTTTGGTGAATTTTGGTAAATAGAGTTCCTAAGGGGTTTGTAATTCTTGTCTTTGTTGAATTATAGATATAAATTGGTAATAATGTCCCCTTTTAATGCCTGTAGGATCTGTAGTGCTATCTCTTTTTTACGTTGGATACTGATAATTTATGGGTTTATGGTTTTTTTTTTGGTCAAATTTATAAAAAAAAAATCTTGATCTTTTCAAACATACAGCATTTGGTTTAATTGATTTTTCTCTATTTTTACTCTTCCATTTCATCAATTTTTGCCTTGTTTTTTGTTGTCATTTTCCCATTGATTTTTTAAAATAAGTCTTTATTCAGATTATTACAATTGTTCCTCTCCCCCCCCCTCCTCCATAGCTTCCCTCCACCCGGTTCCCACCCCACACTCTGCTCCTAAACTCCTCCAGGGCCCCACTGTCCTCATCCATAGGTGTATGATTTTTGTCCAGCCTCTTCCCGCACCCCCCACACCCTTTTCTTCCCGAGAATTGTCCAGTCCACTCCCTTTCTATGCTCCTGATTCTGTTATATTCACCAGTTTATTCTGTTCATCAGATTTTTCTTATTCACTTGATTTTTAGATTCACTTGGTAGATATGTATTTGTTCATAATTTTTATCTTTACCTTTTTCTTCTTCTTCCTCTTCTTAATACCTTTCAGCATTTCATATACTATTGGTTTGGTGGTGATGAACTCCTTTAGCTTTTTCTTATCTGTGAAGCTCTTTACCTGCCCTTCAATTCTGAATGATATTATAGCTTTGTTGGATAGAGTAACCTTGGTTGTAGGTTCTTGCTATTCATCACTTTGAATATTTCTTGCCACTCCCTTCTGGCCTGCATAGTTTCTGTTGAGAAATCAGATGGGTGCTCTCTTGTAGGTAATTAACTGTTTTTCTCTTGCTGTTTGTAAGATTCTCTCTTTGTCTTTTGCTCTTGGCATTTTAATTATGATATGTCTTGGTGTGGTTCTCTTTGGATTCCTTTTGTTTGGGGTTCTGTGCACTTCCTGGACTTGTAAGTCTATTTCTTTCACCAGGTGGGAGAAGTTTTCAGTCATTATTTCTTCAAACGGGTTTTCAGTATCTTGCTCTCTCTCTTCTTCTGGCACCCCAATGATTCAGATGTTGGTATGCTTGAAGTTGTTTCAGAGGCTCCTTACACTATCTTCATATTTTTGTATTCTTTTTTCTTTTCCGTTTTTTTTTTGTTTTTTTGTATTTTAAATCTTTGACTTGATTCTTGCGATCCTCTAGTCTGCTGCTGGATCTCTGTATATTAATTTTTATTTCAGTCAGTGTATGCTTAATTTCTAATTGGTCCTTTTTCATATCCTTGAGGGTCTCGCTAAATTTATCGGCCTTTTCTAGGAAATTCTTGAAAAACCTTTTAACCGTGGTTTTGAACTGTATATGTAGTCATTTGTTTTCCTCCATTTCTTTCACTTGGGACCTGTTTCATTGTCTGCATTTTGGCTGCTTCCCTGAGTTGATAGAGTGGCTTTGTGTGCTAAGTGTCCTATAGGGCCCAGTGGCTCAGCCTTCCCAGTTACCTGAGATGGATAGTCTTGGTGCATCCCTTTGTGGGTTGTGTGCACAGTCTTCTTGTAGTTAAACCTTGATGGTTGTTAGTATCACTGGGAGGAATTGACCTCCAGGCCAACTGGTTCTGAGGATCAGCTGTAGTCTATGCTGGGAGAACTTATGTGCTGGAGACACCCTTATGAGACAAGACTTGTAAAAGCCTTTTTGCTCAGCTTGGATGGGGCGGAGTCTCAAGGTGGAACAGACAGCAATGGCTTCCTGTCAGCCCTGCCCTAAGAGGCCCTTGGGTCTCAGTGTCCCTCGGTAATTGCTGAGAGAAAGCCGCCCTCGAGTTTCACCCGCTGCCAGACAGTCCAGTTTCTCCCCGAACGTGTCTGGGTCCCCAGAGTCTCGCCTGGAACTGGAGTTCAGAGCCATCAGGAGCTTTTGTTTCCCTCCTGTTTGAAAA